GCACCATAAGAAAGGAAATTGGAAGAACAAGTAAGGCATTCATTTCAAGTGCCCTAGTTCCAAATTTCGAGTGGCTCTAATGCTGGTTGAATCCATTACTAAACTATTTGGTGGTGTGCAGTATATTCCCGAATCCATGGATCGGCTTTAATGTCATAGCGCAGGAGTTTAATGAATGTCCATGTTAATGCATTGAGTAGCAGTAATCCAAAAAGTAATGCCTACAAATATCCTCGCGAAAAATTTGCTTTTGAAGTTATGGCCTGGAAGTGGAGGCCATATTGCAACAGAAAGTAGCGCGGGCGGAGGAAGGAAGAAGTTGAAAGGTTAAAAGTGCAGCGAAAATTGTTGTGCTATGGGCATTTAGGGAGGTTGTGGGCTTTGACGATACCAGAAGTGTTGTATTTTTAGAGAAGGATTAAATCTGCGCATTGGCTTCCTTTTGTGGATAATTTTCTTCACTGCTCTAATTACCTTTCACATCTAAATTTATCAGGGTTTTGTACTCTAGCTTCACCTCAAGTTGATTTATTCTAGGTCAGACTACTTGAAAAGGAGGATTAAACATGCAAAGTAACTATGGCATGCGACTGGTTTAAATGAATAAAGAGCCAGTTTGCCTCGGGATTATGAAAAATTATCTGACCAGTTAGTAATAATTAAAGATCTATGGGGCTGGCAAGAGCAATTTAGCATGACAACATCCTCAAGCAAGTAAAACACACTAGTGTCACGCCAACTCAATGCATTATCTCTCATTCCTTAGTCTTCCCTTTTTCCAAGTATCCACAACCATTTACAGAAAACTGTTTGTGCCACCAAGAGAGTTTCCACTTTGTGAGACAAAAATTATCCTCTGATGTCACTCAATTTGCTAATTTGTTTGAGTGGTAAATAAGGCAGAATTAGGGAAATTTTGACTTTGTTACAGGCAAAAGGGTATTCTTGTTCCTGACTTTTTTACCGAAGGATTTGCTGCGTATAGCTTTAGTGGGCGGCGCTTTGAATTTAACACATTACCGCGGACGTTGACGCATGGAGGAAAGAATCATTCACCAACGCCTTTTCAAACAAATCATCTCAATGAAGAAGGGAGAAAAACCTCAAATTTTGGTTCTCAACATCAGATAGCTGGTCGCTTTGCAATCTCGATGTACCATTTTAGAGCCACTGAAACTGAGGGATACGCTGTTTAAAATTCTTCCTGGAAATGACAAAAAATGCTGGCGAAAAGCAAGAAGAAACCCCTAGGCCTTATCGGATTCGCTTTCAAGCATGAAAAAAATCAGGTCTTTGGTCTTCATCAAATCACAGTACTGGTTGCGAGTAAGCTGTAAATCTCAGACTTTACTCCTAACGCTGATGTAGGGAAGGGCAAATCCATTACCAAAAAACTCTCACACATCATCCTAACGGATGAGGAGGAACATCGAAATTTGATTGGAGACATCCAATAGTTAATCTCTTTAAAATGTAGGTGTGCCATTTTAAAGCTGCAAAAAGTGGAAGTGAAAATAAAGGCAGGTAAGAGGCATATATCCTTTAAAAGCACTACCAAAATTATTGTTAGGTATTAGAAATTTAACCTTTGGCTGTATCACCAAATCGCAGATTTGGTTGTAAGCGAGCTGCCTATTACATACTGGCTAATTAATTTGACGTCTCATTGACAGACACCTCAACCATTTTAGGTAAGTATGCTACTGAAAAACAAAAAGGAGACCACATAGGAATACATATGGACGAATTTAAACTTCATTTGAATAAATTAATGTATTTCTCTGTAATTTTTATAAAAAGAACAGCCGCCGCATAGCTCTGAATAGCACCGGCATATCTTCAAATTGGATCGACTGGCTTTGTAAAATCCGTGTAACAAACATTTGCTTTTTTTCATTTAAAGGGAGCTTAATAAAGTACTAAGCTTTACACAAGTTCTGGCACATCTGGAGGGAAATGAAAATTTGTAAATAGTTTCCGTAGTTAAAATGACAATTCGTAGTTGCGTGACATTAGTCCCACTGCTGCCTAACCTATCGCACTGACTTCATCACTCTATATCCCTATTGTGCATATTGTTATCTTGAAGAAAATTTTTTGGACCGATAAATTTATATTTGTCTTTGGTAGTAAAAATAGCTGCAAATGTCTGGCTGGTTTCAACATTTGCCAGTCAATTCAAATTACACCTTTTCTGCTGGTAACAGTTGACAATTATGTACAGATGCCTATCGCAATATATTTATAAAAAAGCAAAATTTATTCATTAATGTAAATAATTTTTGAAGCAATTTCCAGATATGTGAAAAGGGCATCACCTTTTACATTGCTTGATCGACTCAGGAGGGGCAACCTGCAACAGTGTCAGTTGAAGGTAATATGCACCAACAGGAGAATCTGAAAAGTGGCGGCAAGTGGCTGAGTGCTTCTTGCCTTCTCCAATTCCTCCAATCTTCCTGCAAAAAATTTTTCTCGTGATAGATTACTACTTGAAATCATTCTAAATTTGGTACTGCTTTTGTACTATTCCCTAATTAAACTAGGTGACAACAACTCCATATTTCCGCATTTTATTTTCTTGACCTAATTTATTTCCTCGCTGTTTGCTCAATATTCCTGCCTTAATTTGGGGGGTAAATTGAATGCCTGCACTTTTAGTCGACGCGCTTAATGACGATTTTCAAATGATTGCTGCCATTTACGGTCAGCATTGTCCTGCGATTCGCGGTGAGTGTTAATTTGAAAAGAAAACATTCCACTCCCTCGAAGGGTGTGCCTGGCGTATGCAGTGGAAGGTAAAAAACACATCGGTTCAAGGTAACAATACAACAAGTGGCGCATTGTGACAGGAGGATTTCGCTAGCTCCACACCCGCTGCAAAAATTGGTTGTGCAAGCTGTCCATCTTAAGAGTTCTCTTTATCTACTTCAATAATTAGAATCATCAGACAGAATTTAGAGATCATAAATGGAAGACTGTCATAATTAGTGGCCTCTTCTGGAAAAAAAATGCTTCTTATATCCTGCGAATATTTCTATATGGCGCCTCTGACTGTTCCGTGGTTTAGACTGCAGATAAAGTCATTCTCATTGTCACAGGGCAAATTAAAAGTGAATGCAAAAGCGTAATTAATTTAGCTTAAAGCCATCCCCTGAGTATTAATTAAGAAGCTCAGAATGGGCTTTAACAAAGACTCTGTACGACTTTGATTAGTTATTTAACTCTTCATTCTTTTTTCGTAGACGCTAAAGGACTACGTCATTGTACTCCCCCTGAGTATCATGACCTACTAGCCTTGCCAATAGGTCCCCAGACCTTCTGTACCTTTTGCTTCGTAGATAAATCACCCCCATCAATATGTCGTACAACTGGTGTCCAAGCAATCTTCGGCTTCGACGTACACTTTTTCGGCAGTCCAGATATGGACCATAGGAAAACTTAGACTACAGACAGGGAGCCTTCTGATTCCCTGCTATCTAAACAACCATTGACGTGCCATCATAGTTTACTGTTTATTTTCTTCAAAGTTGCCCGGAAAACATTTAAAACTGCCCGACAGTTGTCGATACGATAAGGTTAAATAGGTGCTTTATCCATGTTCATACAGATAGATGATCCGTAGCGGGGACTTAAGCAGACTTATTAGTGGTAAAAGAGTGAATGACTTCAAATATTCTATCAGCAAAATTTGTCCAATCCAGCATAGTTCACACTCTCCACGTGGTAATGGTTGTGCCCACTTTTGTCTCGATAGCTGGGTAGAGTTGAGCACACTTTTGCCCCTATCTCTAATTAAGAGGTGCACCTGTTACTGCGAATCCACTAAAGTGGTCTCTTTAAATGTCCTGTTATGTTAAATATTTTCCATTTTATAATAATATAAATGAATTTGTGAAATGGATCTTAAATTGACATCAGTGTCCTTTACAATTAAGAGGAGTTATCATGCAGACGATTTGTTGGGCATTTTGCAAATTTGTGAGCTCTTAAAAACAAGGACAAGAAATCCTCATTTAGTTGGGGGGGGGGGGGGGGGCAAAATTTCCGTTATTTAATTATTTGTCACCATTACGGCAAAGAGATCAAAAAAGGAGAATCAATCGGACATAAAATGCATCAACTGTTTGTGGTTTCCAAGTCATATTGGCGATTAAAACTTTGCTCACCCTGAAGTGCACTTTAAGAAGACTATTTCACTTTGTAAACTTTGATTTTAAGATAATAAAGCCCAAATGCGAGTATGGTTTTTCTCGAAGTAGACTTTGTCACTAAAAAACTAGTAAGTAAAAATAGTGATGTTAGAAACACTTAAAGAATATGTACACATTTCTAGTGCTAGACTATCAGAACTTCTTCACTTTCTGCTCAACTGGAACAAGCGTTTCCGTGTTAACTTCAAGAAACTCAAAGCTCCTTGCAATCCCAGCATTCTATTGGTCAACTCATTTAACCAATCATAGGCTTCCAGAGGAAAGGTTGGTCCTCTCAATCCAGCCTTGATGAAGGCCTGACCGAGGCTTGCAATGTGAGAGGATGAGACGCCAGACATGATTGTGTGCTCATGCCCCCGACGCCGCTCTGCAGTGACCCTCATTAAGGTCACCTATATTGTCTGCGCAGTGACCTTGACCACCTCCCTCATAGTTGGCTCCTTCCTGGTCCACATGCTTGTTTTGCCCTACTTCCACGAGTCTGAATTTGAACCCGGTATCTGCGTGGTAATGAAAATCGAATTTCACCTAGTCGGTCGACTCAAATGCGAGAACAAGTGCTCGAAAGAGCGCTCCTCATTTCCCTGTCTTCGCGTCACGATTGTCTTTGAGAAGGATAATAAAAACCGCACTGGATTACTCTTCGACACAATCGTCACGCACCAAAATTACCGTAGCTATGGGGTAAGCAGTTTTGAAGGAATGAAAAAACACATTTTCCAGTTTTATTGCTTAAAATGCAACCCAGAATGCCTAGTTTTATAAGGAACTTCTAAAAAAGACCGGGAAATGGTTTATTTGACCATATTTGTTAATCACACTCCAAATAAATCACAATTTAGTAAAAATAATTTAAAGTACGGCATAAATTTTGTTCCAAACAAATGCGATTGGTGTTATAGTAGCGCCAAAAACAGAACTGCCTCTCATGTTTTTTCCAGACGCAGCTAGACTCTCCAACTGCGGCACCTCTAACTTATAAACCAGTTTTCCGATGAAGAATTGACTTACCTCGAGTACAGCAACCAATTTAAAACCAATCTGCCTCTGACTAAGGTCTACAATGGCTCAAAGGAAACCTAGTCACAGCAGTGTGAAGGCTTGTACTGAGAACCAGACACATGAAATCTGCAAAGGGGATGGGACCGAATTCCATCATTTTCCTTGTATCAAAATGTAGGCCAGTCAATTCAGAGATCTGTAAAGATATAAAGGGAAGAGAAGCATGGTTGGGAAGTGTAGTAGGGCCTATTAAGATATGAATAGAAAAGTTTCTTTTGGAAGTAAATTATTATATTATTGGACAGATTCCCTAAAAGCGCACAGCTGCATGTCTTTACTTGCTCCAGTAATACAAGGGATTCTAGGAGCGGATCACCGTTAAGTATACCTCTGTCTTATGGTTGTTACATCTTTTCGAAAGCACAAAGGATAAACCAGTGAAGAAATCCTCTTTTGCCATTTATAGGCGCTCACTTTGCTGTAGTAAGATCTTCAGAAATCAAACCTGGAGAAAAAAGCCAATCCTGCGGACATGAAATGTAGTCCAAAAGGGACAAATAGTTATAGATTATTCATTTTTTTTAACAGGGTCGGTGGTTAAGGCTTCTTTTTAACTTTCACGGGCAAAAATATATTCCTCTTCGCCTTTGTCTTAGCATAAGCCTAATTTTCTGCCCAAAAATTACAAAAGGGCCAGAGATTGACTGCATTACTGATGAGAGATACAGTTTATGCACCACTGTTAGGCAATCTGATTTGATTGACAAACTTAACAGATGTAAAAAGGCATGTAAGATGGGAAATTTAGATTCATATAAATCTCAATTCCTTTTATGTTCTGTACTAGTAAGTAATATTATATACTTCTCAAAGTGACTCACTTGATTCAGGCTCGTCATCTCTTTACCACTCTGTTAATGCGGTTGCATGAAAGGGCATAAAACCGCATCTTGTTTTTAAAATACCTGATAATAGACGCAACATTTCTGCCCCACGCAATGACAGACACGTATTGCTAAGTAGAAAAACTTTATCGCCAAATTGATGCCATTCAATGGCAAGTTTGAACGAAAGCTATGCATGATTTGAACTGGCAAGTACTGCCACATTAGCGATGTAACCTCAACAATGACCAGGTGTAGGCTTTAAAGCATCCCAGGATCATTTGGAGTCTAAATATTAAGAAAGAGGTTCAATGCTTATAAATTATACCTAGCACGCTTCATTTGCTATTTAATTAATCTGTCTGGCTACGTTGTATAGATCCAACCAAAAGTAGCATACATTATGGTGACCCAGAGATATGCCGACTTGGAAATCTGAACTCGGCTTAAATGTTTTATACGCTCGAGTTTTTTGTGATAACAAAACAAGTCAGGATTTATAGTGAGGCAAGTGAAACTACATAGGGAAAGACTGGTTTATACTTGAGGTTTTGAAACCAGAAGTCGTGCAAACAAGTAAACCAAAATCGAATGGTGGATCGAAATGATTCAGAATTATTTCTGAAATTAAGGTCTACTCTTGAAAAGCACACATCTCACCTGTTAGGTTATGCACAAATTTTTGAGAACATTATCCCACTTAGATGATCTTTTTGCTACTTCTAAAAATATTGGGATTCTAAAATAATTATATTATGGCTCTTTAACTGGTTTTCTAAACGAACTATTCATATTACGATTCTTTTAATCCTATGTTTTGGCCGAAAAAGTGAACGAAATTCGAGGCGGGGAAAATTTAAGATCCCTGCTTATCGTGGATTATTAACTGCAAAGTTAAATCTTCAAAGATCATGATTACGTTACTTGTAGAATTCCTCAAAATACTATAGACATTTATTCTGAGGCGGAGACAAAATTTCCTAAGATTTAGTTTACATCATGGAAAACGGGCAACAAAGGCCTAAACCATGATGTACGTTAATATCTATTACCCAGTAAAGGATAATACTATGGTAAATAAGTGTCGGTACAATGAGTAGCGTAGGATTTAAATGATGCCAATCGCCTTACGATGCCAATATTCCTAACCACTCGTAGATTAGCAGATCTGAAAACAATTGCTACTAGTTTACATTACCACTACATCACTTTTAACCCTTCAAAATCACTACCACCTTGCACTGCCTCATTGCCACTCGAAGTTCAGCCATTACGAGTAGAACTGACTTCAAAAGTGGCCACACAACCTTCGACGATGCCGCTGGCAAAAATGTCCTCACCTTAAACAGTTTGGTCTAAAATATTTTAACGTATTTTAAACGAAGATAACTCTTTAATGTTTTATTCAAATTTAATGAATATGGGAGCCGAAAAGTTGAGTAAACAACATTGAAAGAAGCGCAAGATTAAGATTTTGATTTATTGTGCTAACAGCACCTCAACCCGTTATAAGTGATTCATTTAAAAAGACTTCTTGGGGATTATTTTTTTATTCCAGTTTTCCTTGGAGTTGCACACTCACTTGCCCGAAGTGTTTTCCAAAACATTAGAATCCTCTTCAACTTTTGTTTTTATGTCATAATCCATGGAATGATTAATTTTAGGACTCAATGGCTTCATATTCGCTTACTTATTTACTATTTACAAAACCGTTATCACGTAGACTTCGGGTCTTTGTAACTATTTGGACGTTTCTTTCTTTTCATTCTTTAAATCCCAACATTGAAATATATGGTATCCACTTATCAGAATTAAGACTTTCAGCGCATGCGAGATGTCAAGCTAAATTTAATACTATACGGCCCCTATCTTGACCTCCTGATTCAGTTATTTTCCTTGTAAGCAAATAAATCAAAGAAAGATACAAGTTTAGGGAGACTTGCACACGGGGCTCCTCTCTGATTTGAAAGATGTTGGACGACCCTCAATCACGAGGTTTCACTCGACTACTCATCCCCTCTCAAGACTACATTTTTTCGAATATGTGCTTTAAATGTTGCACAATTTAACCACAACCCAAGACTTTAGTTTAATCTAAAATACTTTAATGTACCCAAAACTGATCCAACTATATAGGAATTTTCTTTCAATATATAAGTGCTGCTGTTTACCATATCATCCGTCCAATTAATCTCTTTTTTATGTCAATATCGTAAATGACAAAACAACTGATTACATAACGAAAGCATCAGTATATTCTGAGCTTTTATATTTCATAAGTGACATGTAGACTCATGCATTCACAGTTTATAGTTAAAACAAAATAGATGGAAAACAAAAGTTTTTTTTGTAATAAATTCTTAATACCCTCGTTGGCACAATAGAAAGTCAGAACTATGGGCTACGAAACCATCAGCAGTCCAAAAATTCCGTACATTTATTCAAATCATTTTCGAGGTTACAATCATTTATTGTGGTTATACACTTTAAAATAATCAACTTTTAAAACTTCTACAAACTAGTTGAAAAGTGCGGTAAACTTGGCAAGACCTGCCAGAACACTGAGTGGGTAACGCATTCAAATAGTGTAAATGAACCTTGAATAATGCATTGTGCAAATTTGACTAATTATTTGGGGTCTGTATGCAGACCATCTGTTTTGTGCACTACTCGCGAGTCAATTCTAACTCATGCTCACCACTATAATTCTCTCCTGTCGCGGTGTGTCAGTAAGATGTCCGTCAAAATCTGCGTACCAGATCGTTTATAGCCTTTGTCTCTTTTTCAACTCTGCTCTAGAGAGCGAAACCGTCTCAAAATCAATTGGTGAATAGTAGCGAGGCAGTACGTCTCCAATAGACGGGCAACCTAGGTTACAATTTTCACTCCTCAACGCTCATTGTAAAGTTGCCTTTGACAATGAACCTGGGAAAGCTCATTAGATGCCAGTTAAGAAAACCACAAAATCCAACTTACCTCAACTGTTTCCTTAGGTGTAGCATTATTTATGCCTATCTTTAACTCGATCTTCTTTGCCTTAAGTCTTAACTATTCAGTTATGTACAGGCGTCTCCATACCTTACAATATTTGCTCCATTCACCTTCTTATTTGCAACAAGGCAAACTATTGCATTTCTAGAAAAAAGGAAAACACTTAACTGAGACCTGAAATGATGCATCTTGCCTTGCTACAAAATTTTCTCTTTCCGGCTATTACGTGGTGTCACCTAGGCTTCATTGAAGGAGTTATTATAGCGCTGGCAGAAAAAGGATGAAAAATGTTCCCTCCTATTCTGATTTAAGAAGTAACTTCTCATCGCTCAGCTACCAAATTCAGTGCAGACACAGACGACGTAGTTTACAAGTACTAATCCCTCCATTTCATACATAATTTACTACTCTTAACAAAGTGGGGGAGGCAATTAATAAAATTTTAACGACAGCCTAAATCAAAGCTGCGTCGGACTGATTTGCTGCTAAATTTAACGTTTAATGATATGATTTGGGTTGGTTTGTAAGCATCAGCACAAGTTAAAATAACGAAAACGGTAAGCTTTGATTTTTGTGCAAACTTGCTTTTAAAGGCTCTACCTCCTTTGAGCCAATTTGACGCATTTCCCTGTTTGAGTCGCCTTCTCAAATTGTCAACAGTTGGCAATCGGAATAGAGGCACTGTCAGTGACAATAATCTTTTTGACTGAATATTCAGGACGCAAAACACCAAACGAAAAAAAAATGTTAGGTTCAAAGTTAAGAATAGCTTGGAAATTTTAACTATCCAGAAGCATGAGCTCCACCTCTTTATAATGCCGAAAATGTCAAAGGATGGAAAGGTTATTTCAAATCTCAGACAAAAGTTACTAAAAGCGAAACTGGCAATAACTTGTTAGGCAAAAAGCATTTGCAAGAAAATATCGAAACCATTTATAGGAATATGGCTTTGTTATTGATGGAGCAGCTATCTTGGCATTCGCAATTCCTCATGAGGCGGGCAATTTTAGGCACCCCTACGTTTTGTAGGCGTCATGCCTCACCCATGTTGCCGTAATTCGGGTCTTTAGCATCCCTAAATGTGGGAGAGAAAAATATTAAGTTGATTTAATTTCTTCATGTAATTAACCTCTCCTACTGAATTTATGAGTAAGTGCGGATATTTCTCGGTCATTCGGTGATAGCTATCATTCATGAAGCCTTAGTGACCAGACACAACATTTTCACTTTTTTCCTAGAGAACGCATGATTTGTTTCGACAGAGACAATTGTGTTTCGACACTCCTCCATTCTCTTAGAGTGTCAATTCTTACCCCTTTTCTATCAATGATTAACTTTAAAGTTTCCCTTCCTACATTTATTTTGCTTGCTCAGCGCACAAGGCAAACATTTCGGATTTTACACCCAGCATTATAGTCATGCAAATTATTTATTTCCCTAACTCATTTTATCTGGCTTGCTTGCTTTGACTGTGCTAAGTCCTTTTATGCCTTTTCGGCTCCTCTTCCCATCTTTTGGCGATTCTATGGAAACTGTTGCTCATTTCCTCCTCCCTTCTGAATTTTATCACTTGTTTTGCTATCAGTGAGCATGTTTCTCCACTTTTTTATTGTTATCCTACACCGGGGTCTATCTTGATTCCTCCTCTTCCTAATTCGCCATTCTAAGTCAAAGAATTTGCATGACTTTAGGGATTCCTTTTCTCTTACTACAGCCGTAGATTTAGCAAAACTGGGTACGAAAACTTTGATTCCATTTTCTAAAATTCTTCTAACTAAATTGCTTGCAACAGTCACATTTCTCACCTTGCACTCCATATCCACCCACCTATCCATCTACCTGTTTAGTGCGCAACGAGTTCTTGCCTCCAGCGCCAAGAGGAAAATGACTTTGCCGTCCAAACCTTTCGTCTGAGTCTGCAGAGCCGTGGTCCCTTCCGCTGTTTTGTCTCCGCACAGCATGGGGACGAGGCGCTGATGTACAAAGTCTACGAACTCTCTACCATTTTCAATGCTCTGTTCTGGCCCCTAAGCATCTTTTGCCTCTCCTTCGTCACCATTGCCATTCTCTGCACCACAGACCAGTGCAAAGTGTGGAATGCCGATGCACTACTTATCACCTAATTCTACTAAAACAGACTCATTTTTGTAAATACACCCTTTTATTAGAGCGGGTTCTGAGTCGGTTTATTCGTCATGATATCTTAATAATCACTGAAGGCTTTGTAGGAGAATATATACCTCGTAGAAGTTTTACAACCAATCCAGAAAATGGCTAAAAGACCCGCAGCCTAAGTAGCCTTTCAGTAGGCAAATAGCTGAAGACAGGCGAAGATAACGTAGTTCAAGAAAAAGCCTTCAACTAACAATGGGATTTCTTTATCATTCTCCTAGCTTGGTCCGTCACAAGGTAAGTGCGAACGAGGCCCTTACGATGATGTCTCATGAAGTGACAACGAACCTTACTCTACTGATTATGATGCAGCTCGTAGGCATAAGCATCGTTTTCTGTAAGGATTCATTTTTATTAGCAGTGATTTAGGCTAGATAATCTAAAGAAAGCTCATTTTTTATGTCTCTATCTATTCACAGAAACAGTTACCCCCAAGTACGACTTTTAATAATCGGACTTAATGCTTTAAAATTCTCTCATCCCACTATTCTGGCCCTATTTTTACTGTCCAGTGGCATATTTTGAGTTGTTCCCTAACTTTCTACAGCCTTCTAAGGTATTAAGAAGTCGTTTTTTTCTGTTCACGTATGATGCAATGCATGCAACTCTGACACAGCGGGTCCCAATTTGCCTAAATCCGTCTACAATGTAGAATTTGAGACAACGAGGGCTAGTAAAGGTGAATCTTTGAAGGTGCGACCATCCACAATAAAAGTTTTCAGTCTATAACGTTTTAATAAAGTTGCCCTTTCTTGCATTTAAGGTCGCTACTTTAAAATAAGTTCCCCATCGTTGCCTTGGGAGTGCGTCTATCATCAGAATGGAGAAGAAGTGGAAGATCAACAGGGCGGGTGAATGGACTACAAATAGTTTCACCATACAATCAAAGCAAATCCCATTCTTTTGTCAAATTGAGCCTTTTTAGGATTTCTTGTACTGTACCTTTGCGGCTCACAATGTTTTCGAACTGTCAGATGAATGTGGTGTCGGTAATATTTACCAAAATGTCGTTACGAGCACTTTATAGCCCCTTTAGGCTGTCATAAATTGCCAGAGTACGTTTTACACGTTACAATTGTCTGTTACACTTCAACAAGTACATCTCCCAATTTTATCCCTTTGGGAGGTTGAACCTCTGGATCGTGGAAGTTACTTTAAGAGTAGGAATCCTTCTTCTTAGAAATGGAGTCTATTCTATTTCTCTACTTCTCCTTTTTTCTTGAGTTTCAAATATCATCGTTCCTTTTTAGAGAATAGACTATTCAAATTATCTCCCTGGAACTAGTCAAGGCAACCATCGCATGTCATTCAAATTGCCTTTGGCTTAACCTACTATGACTACTTAACAGCCACCCTCACTAGCAACTTCCAGGGCTTGTAAATTATGTTGCATGGGGGACAGAGTGAGGGCTCATTATTCCCACCTGATTACGGCTTTTAAGTAACTGTGAAAACGGAATTTTAATTAAAGTTTAGCTTTGAAGTTTTGGGAAGTCCGTAATTTTCAAGGTCATTAAGTTCACTAGTGGCTATGTAAATGAATTACCAAAAATATGTTAAAAAGTCAGGCGAAAAATTAGTCTTAATTGGCAAAAAGGTAACTTTTATCTTCACCTGTCATAGAAAAATGTGGGAGGTCTGATAAAGACTTGCTCTGAAAAGCAACTGCTTCAAGACTACGGGAGCAGCTGTAAGCTGTCATGTCTGAGCTTTCCATGTAGTCGATTCTTTCTGACAAGCTAATTGCCCATGCGGTTCCGCACTCATCGTTCTGAGGTTGACGTGCTGTCACAACTTCAGACAAATTAAATTATTTAAAAAAAGGTTTGCATAAATAGATAACTTGAGACTCTTAGCCCATTTTTAATAAATATGGATGCATGAGATACTCATTTTGCCGTGCTTTGATAAGGACTGCTTGTCATTGTCTGATATCTAGGGTAAAAATCCAGTCTCCTGCGGACTTTAAAGGACAAATGAGATAAACAATGACTTGATTGCCAACACACCTAAGGAATGGGGCCAGCGGCATAGGTGATATAAGAAAGTCGTCAAGCAGGACCCATGTGGAACCGCTGACACCTAAACAGGACAGCATAACATGACAGCTTCGAATGCCAGGGTCCTAGTTTTCCACACAACTAAAATTGTAAAAGGCATCACACATGAAGAGGGTAACCAAGTAGGTCAGCTAACTTCAGGAAGCTTCTCACAATATTTTCACCTTTGAATAAGTTACATTTGCAATGTGTATTCCCTTCCTAACGACGCATAAGCTATTTATACGTCTTTTATATTATGCTGCCTCTAAAAGCAAAGCACCACCTTTCTTTCACACTGATCATCCAAACCCCTATTTTTCCATGATCAAGTGATCTATCGTACACCAATGCCAAGGTGATAAAAATCTCTAGGATGAATAGTAATGGGAATTGCAAAGAACGAAGCAGCATGTCCTTCTCCTCCTAGATTGCGGTCGTAGGGACATATTTGGCTGCACCAAGTCCTGCATTGCGTTGACTTATTAGGCTAGGACTTCTCTCCCGTCAAATGAATCTGGCTGTTTCAAAAAGTTCTTCTTGAATGAGCTCCAGTTTCATCAGGCTTTATCATGCAGTGAGATCCTTGCGCATTCTTTTGGCGATGAATTGATATCATTGCCAGAAGTGCGGAGTGGGTAGGGATTCAACCGTACGGAGGTAGCCAATTACCCTTTTTTGATTCAAGAGTGGAATTTCAACGACCATTCCTGGTCACAAACCATTCAGTCAGCAAACTAACTCGTACCGTCCCTTCCTCAAGTGCTATGCAGCAAATGCAACGGGGAATTTGTCATCTACAAACTTAGATTGGTTGATTGACATCAGCTCTAGACACAAAGCGAAAGAGTTGGAATACTGAAGTGTCCGCAACACTGCTTTTACCGAATTCTGCGTCATTAACATATTAGTTGGTGTTAAATATAACGAAGAGGTGGTTTTCACTGCCTAAAGATAATTTAAATAGTTGAGTTTTGATAAGTCGAACTTTAACCTAATTTTACTATTGACTATCCCAAAAGGCCTCCGTAGCGAATGCAGCAAGACATCTATAACGTCCCATTAATAGCCACACTTCCCACCATTTGAACTTGTTACCGCAGTAATGCATAGGAATTCTTTAAGATGGCAAGGGAGCATGCTTTGTCTGATGGCATAGGTTAATTTGCGCCAGATTTTGACGAATCAATGCATTAAATAAGGAAAACGTTCATTTCTATGTCAGTCGCATTGCTAAAGAGCATACCTTAGAGATGTTTAAAAAATTTCCACGAATTATTAACCAATGGTGATGTACTAGTCTGTGGAAGTAGAGAAGCAAAAAAACTTTACTTCCAAAGAGGTGTCAAACACTTCAGCAAATGCCCAAAATCATGTTTGAATTGGAACCCTTGATTGGATTTTTATGCCTCAAATCGCATCCATGAATTAAAAGGAAAAACCGACATTTTTTAGAGACGGAGAGATGGCTTTAAAAAGATTATTTTACCTCTGATGTAAGTGCTGCCTATGGCGTTTTCGTGGGGTCAAAAGTGCTTCCCTTTCGATAATAACATTTTTTGCATTAAAGAGATTAGCTTGTGCTGCTGAACAAATTGTGTAAATTTTCATAAGCTGAAAGACTACTTATAAAGTGTCAGCAAGTAGCAATTGAAAATTATTAGTTTTTAGGTAACGCACTTGCCAAAGGAGGTTCATCGTTTTTCTCACTGGTCTGCGTCTTTAAAACATCTAGTTAACAAGGCGGACTTTGGAAAGGCAGTACTTCTTTAGAATGAGGCTTACATCTGGAAGACACAAGCCTGATAATGAATTAGGGTTTGTGTCAACTTCAGGAGGAGGTGGTAGACATGACAACTCGAGCTTGGCCAATATTGGTAGTTTTGTGACCTAGAAATGAGTAGTAAATCGTACATGAATAAGGTAGTGCCTTCCTTGCTTTGACAGCAGTCCGAGGTTTGTCCCTTAGTTAACATCACCTCCAGTATAACAACTAGTGAAGTGCCATCTCCAATTGACTGGCACAGCACGATTCTACAGCCAACCTATGGTGCGCTTTAATGAGGTTACATGCAATTGTAATGCATTGCCCATAGTCTTTCCTTCAGTTACTCATTGTAAACTAAGTAATCCCTTGGTGAAATGAGCCATATCACTCGAAAGGCGTCTCTGCTTCAAGGCCATTGGATTCCACCGTGCCCGCTTGGCAATACAATGAGTCTCTCGGTCAGCACTAGATTTTCATCCCATTAGTGATTAGGTCGGTAGCACTTTTTGTGATATGGAATACCTCTGGATGGATAAGAAACAAAATGCTCTAGGTCAAGGCTAAACACTTGCCTCATCAAAGCTTTCGGTCGAAGTACATCTCCTGCAGTGCTGTAATTCCATATGTCAGCGTCTCGTGGAAACATCGCATGGCATCTTTTTGCGAACAGTGACCATTGCCAACGCCAAAACAGCCACGCAGGCACGCTCCGTAGTTGTAATTCCACATGCAAGGAGGCACTAGCTTACGCGCAAAACCCATTTTTCTGGCTGCGGGTGCTTGGTGAATTCCTCGAGCAATCCCACTAGTGTGCTACTCCAACTTCCTGCCCAACCATTACTCTGCCGACGATCCTGTGCTGCACGCGTCGTTGTGACACTCAGTGCAGCACGAAAGGGCCGAAATCACGCATTCAGCATTTAAAGTCTTGGAGAGTTACATGGCAGCCACTTCTCTGGAGCAATATACTCACTATTCCTCTCTCTATTTTGATTGTAACTCCTGTAGCCCCTGTGAATATAGAGCCAAGAAGTACGGACGTCTTGTTATATGCTCCCACCCTTCAGCCGCAGGTGAAGTGGATCCTCCTCATTACTGCGACTCCCTTGGTGTATTTCTGCCAGTACAATGCGCAGCACTTGTC